AATTGGATTTTTGAGTGATTTGTGGGTTTGAGTTTTTAGATAGATGAGAGGTGAGGTTTTGGGTGATGAGATAGATGAGAATTGAGACTTTGAGTGGTGAGGTCGATGGGAATTAAGACTTTGAGTGGTGAGGCAGATGAAAATTGTGAGATTTTGAGAGTTTTGTGACTTTGAGTGGTGAGATAGATGAGAATTGAGGTTTTTGGTGGTGAGATAGATGAGAATTGAGACTTTGAGTGGTAAGGTAGATGAAAATTGTGAGATGCTGCCTTGTCATCGTTTAAATACTTGCAAACTAAAAACTCTAAAACACATCAATCTATCCTACCTAGTACATTAAACAATAACATGCACCAATAACTTCAAAATTCCCTGAATTACTATACAAGCATATAATCATCAAACGATTATTACAAACCCATTCCAAACTTCATTATCAACGTACATTCCACACACCACAAAATCCACGCAACTCAATAGACCCCGCTAAATCCAAAGTCGCCATCACCAATAATCAATCCCCCAAAACTCCACGAAGGACTCACAAAAGAAACACTTCTTTCACTTCGCAGATAATCTTCTTCACGTTCTGTGGACTGGCGGTCGCTGAACCAGGATATCTGGCTCCTGTGGTGTCCTACGGCTACTTTGGCATCCCCATAGGCTACGGCGGCCAAGTGTTGGAGACGCCGGAAGTGGCGCAAGCGAAAGCAGCTCATTTGGCTAGGCAGGCGTACGAGGCGGCCAGGAACACGCTGGGTTATGCACACGTGCCAGTCTTGACCCGCGTTTACACACCTGCGATTACCTACGGCGCGCCCATCGGCGCTGACGGCCGGGTCGTCGATACACCTGAGGTCGCCGAAGCGAAGGCTGCTCATCTTGCTGCTCACGCGCTGGTAATTGCCGCGGGAAAATAGCGAAGCCGTTCGAACTATAAATAATGAAGCGTATGTTCAATCCATTCACTCATTGCGTACCGGCTAATTTTCAGGAAACTGAATTGTGATGGCAATTTTCACTGAGGTCAACTTATATCGCTGTACATAGAAAAACTCAGATATCATATTGTTATATAATATATTTTAAATAATCAATTCGAATTAAATTTTATATTTTGTCAATGCTGTGGTAATTAGCGAGGTTCCATAGCTAAGTGTCTTTATATAAAAACGAGATTTCTCATTATCGGTACGCAATGTGTCCCATGAAATTTTTTTCTTGAATTTTTAGATGAAATTCTGAGTGTCCATAGTATCTTGGAAAAATAGTGAAAAAATCTGACATATTCAATATACTGTATATAGCAAGTTGCAAAAATCTTAACTTTGTTATTTCCTATTTTATAAATAATTTCTCGCGACAGTGCAATCATAGAGCATTTTGTAAATGTTCAAAACTTTAAGCGAAGTATAAATTTTATCTGGAAATAACGTCTGATTCAATTTATTCATTCTAAATACTAACTCATATTTATTCTAATCATTAGATACATTATTTATTAACAAATAAATTGTCTATAACAATTTAGAATGAGCGATATATTAATAGATGACTGGGACTTAATAAGTTAATGACTACGCTTGCTTAATCCTTTGCACTGCATCGGCGTCGCTCAGTCGCCGCTCAATTTAATACAGAACAATTATCTAGGAGAAAGAGAATTTTATTTGAAACAGTATAATTATTTCATCACAGCAACACAATGAAACAAGCCGCAAATCAAACAACGTGCACACTATTTATATACTCGGATGCTCTTCTCACTCGCACGCTTTCTAGAACATTCTTTCATTATCATGCATTAATTTCACATATATTTGGAACATTCTAGATTCATAAAAAACGAACGTTAACCCTCTGTAGGCCCATGTAACTTTAAAGTCACATATCAGTATATTGGCATCTTCTTGATTTATTTCATTTTGCACTCGAAGTATTGAATAAAATTAAGTAATCAGTTAACTTAAACTTTTATATGCTCAGGCATGAAAGTTTAACGTCATTGTAACTTGAAAGTTACGAAATATATTCGTTTGATGGAATTATTGAAATTATTAAATATATTGTTAATTCGTATTCATATGTGGATATTTATTAATTTTGTACTACATAGATTTTATTATAATTGTGAACAAAAATTCGGCCCATAAAGGGTTAAATCAATATAGACGTATCTGTAATCAAGTAACTGGATTGTTTTGAACGTAACTTTTAAATTGCAGGAAGCTGCAAAAAAATTAGGACTGTACCCATACGGCGCTCTGGCGTATTCTTCGATCCCATATGCCTATAGATATGGCTATGGTGCTCCCCTTGGTCCCGATGGTAGAGTGGTCGACACACCGGAAGTCGCGGAAGCGAAAGCCGCGCATTTGGCAGCGCATGCACAGGAGGCAGCTAACGCACAGAAAATATAATGGCTTTGAACTGAGAAATTTTGTTGTAAAGGAAATTGTCATAATTCAAGGAAACGGAACTTTTCGAACAGGAAATGGCCGATAGATTTTTCCTAATAACGATAATTGTCTTGGAAAAAGAAAAGGAAGAACAAATAATAAAAACTTTGTATTGTACCAACTGATGCAAAATATTGTTCCCTGATTTTTGAATCCTTTTGAGGTTGAACTCGAAGTTTCTCGAATTTCAGAGATAAAAAATTGAAGATCGAAGTTTGTAGTTTGATATGCTGGTTATTGGATTAAAAAATCACGAGAACTCATTAACTCTTAACTAACTATGATTCATTTCTGAACTATAATCGATACAACTGCTTTATCGTTAATAGTTTATTAGGAAAAGAAAAAATTTGGATATTTATTCTATACGTACGTTTACTAAACAGGTTTACGATAATAGAAAAGTAATAGTTAATTTACATTTTTAAAAAATGAATAACAATAAGGTTCTTCAAATTCAGTTCAAAATTTTCGTCACGAGTCTAACACGATATTGTATGTCAACGGATTAAAAATTAAGATTCAATGGATATTTCATCTTTGAACTGAAATTTTGAATTTCCCTCCAAATTAACGCCATCTACGTCAAAACGCCCAAGCTACTAGCCAATTAGTACCGAATCTCGACCGACAGGTGGCGCCACAATTCACATTTCAAACTATTATTTGCTTCTAAATTAGATAATTAATCACCGAGTCTTTGGAAACCGGTTATTTGTATAATGTACGTTGCATATGCCTCTCCCTACATTCACATATGCTCAGAATAAATTCATAATGTATAATCATCGAGTAATTATGTTTCCTTTGTTTCCTAAAGCACTTATGAATACTACCTTCGTTCATCATTGAAAATTCTTAACAACTCATTACTTTCACTTCGAGGGTAATAATAACTCTAATTAGATATTCGTTAAGAGTCTACTTTAATTCTATCAAATACAAATGTTTATTAACTGTTTGTAAAGTAACTGCAAATTAATGACATATTGCGTTCGTGTAAAAAAAATTATCTGGAACAACCTTTTAAAGAATCATTAACAAATAATTAATGTAAAAGGTAATCTTATTAAAATTGACATAGGGTAATAGCTAAGGGTCTATTGTACATTTTCTAATTACTAAGTAAGACAGTATTGAGCTTTTATAATAGTACGTGTATTTATAGTATCTATTGACGTTTCTTTAATTTCAAATTCGACAATTTCCCGCTGAGTCAGCGCCATCTACAATGAAACGCCCAAGCTATTAGTCAATTAGTATCTAGTTTCCACCACTAGATGGCGCGACATTTAGTTCTGTTCTTGCTAATACTTCCTTAGTCATCATGCTTCACGAGTAGGTACCAGGGACTGATGAGATGCTTTTTCAAAGGAGGTCGCGTCGACAGTTCTATCTTTGTCCTTGTCGCACACTAGCGCTGTCCTTGTCTTACACATTGCAGGGATAGGGGAAAGCTTTCAAAATGACCAACCGCTAGATGGCGATACTATCGCTTGCCACCAAAATTCGCTATCCTTGTCTTACTCATTACGTGGATGGCCATTGACGACGATCTTTAGATTAATTGTTCTATAGCTTCCTATGGGTCGATTTTGACGTTCGACGACTTAAATTGAAGCTGAGAAAACATAGATAATTATCATGCTATTCCGAATTGCAGAGCGAAAGAGGAACTGATTGAAAATCGCTATTGAATGAGTGTTTGATAAGACCTCAGTTTTGATAGTTAAATATGTAATTATTATACTATATACATAATTAAAATGAAATTTATGTTTTTAAATATTTACTTCTTTTGATAGAATTTGTTAAATAATCATTCAATTGTAGTGAAGCAATTAAATAAGCTTTATTTAAGATATTTCGTATGATCATTGCTTGTCGAACGTTAAAGCTGATGGCTCGTGTAAGATTCTTGATTGGTTATTAATTGGAAATTAAATATAGAGCGTAAGGAGTAATCTGGTGATACCGTTAATTAAGTCAGGCTAGATGATTTGTACAATAAATAAATTCCGTTCTTTTTGTAAGAATAGCTTTATTCGAGTGGTTACCTTCTCAGCTGTTTCCTCATGCAAAGTGTAATTAATTATAAATAATGGGACTCCGTTAAAGTATCAAAGAACGTTTATATTAAATAAACTTTATTCCGTTGTAATAAGGATTCGTCCGACGTGGAATATTGAATAATCTACATTAAATCTGCTCGTTATGCATCGGTCAGAATGGATGGTGTTTAATAAGACAACAATTAGTCAATTTCGTTCGTTTATTTCTCCGTAATGAATTACCTCCTTGTCACTGCATTTTGCATACCTATACATTATTGGCTTAAACGATATCCGCCGATGATCTATATCCTTCTTAGAAATATTATTCAGTGCTGCAGGATCAAGTGGTCGAGCAAAAAAGAACAAAGAGTTGTCGCGTTAATGAAGTTACTTACGCATGCGCTCTGCACACGTGTAACTCACTTGAAGGCGAATTTCACGCGAATTTCTTACGCCTCTCAATGTATCCTTCTTTTGTTATGTTTCTTGTTCCATCCCGCAGCACTGTGTTACGTTAGAAACAAATTCCAAGCACAGTTCTCCAAACAATCGTTATATAAATATAGAAAAATGTTGGATGCGGGGCTGGGGGGAGGGTTCGGGGAGAGGGGATACAATTACAAAAATCTAAAATAAATAAAATCCGGAAGATTGGAGATTGCGAAGAGAGAACCAGAGGAATTGCACGTGGTACACAATTATTATTAACACAGTACAGGCCCTTACAAATTACACGATCTGTGAACATGCGTGCGAAATCGTTCGAGGATAGGGATACACATAGATATTTACAGGGACGACCGAGGTTACACGCGAGCGATCGATAATATCTATCACTTATCACATTATCTACGTAAGAATCACTAAACGCAGCGGAATAAGTTCACATGTAAAAATATATTCAAGTGCGTCCATCCGTTTGATCCGTCGTCCATCTTGGAGACACGCCCCGCGACAACATGGCGTGTGACAAAAATCATTTCGTAAATTCGGATTCCTCTATTTCTGTAACACTAACATAATTTATACTCTGTGGCTCTCAATTTATCAACGTTTTGGAATGTTGTTTGTCTTTATAATAAATTATCGTTTTGTTTTATAGACTGTTTAATATTACTCAAAGGAACTTTAAGGAAATCTGTGCTGTATCATTTTGAAGTGTTAATTGAAACAGTTGAGAACCACTGATACAGATAGATCACGTGCTACCGTCATGGCGGAGCCTGTCTCCAACCCCTGTTCGGCGGTGGCCGGGTCACTTTGACCCAGGCTCCCAAAAGCCTTGCTTCTCGACAATGATTCGTTTATAATTGTGAAAATAAACGCTTGGACATGCACATTTTCCATTTTCGAATAACGTGTCGTCGAAAAGAACATTTCCTCTCGAGAGAAACGACTTCTTCGATGCAGTTCGTTCTACGCGTAGAATCTGTTCCATGAAACTCGACTGCGGTACAAACAGAATTCCGGAAAATGGGCGTCTGCAAGGATATTGGACAAATTAGCCTCGCGAGGTCGATGGCGAGCGAACGATACACACGTCTAAAAGATTCTCGACTCAGTGTCGCATCGATTTTCCGCGAAACAATTGAACCGGTGAGATCAGAAAGCAGCCAGGTCCGTTTCTATCAATTTCCCGAAAGCAACAAACGCAATTCTCCGTATCTAAACGATAACCATCGATCGGTGTCTTAATTTCCCGATAAAAGTCGACTGTCTCTGATCCCGCCGGCGCAACAAGCCTATCAACTAAAAGGTAGGAATGATTAGAGCGGTCGCCAGGAAATCATGAAGATCCGATCGATCAACACTAGAACTACCTAGCAGTCAGGCCGACTTTCCGAAATTTCTCTGCGGAAACTTGAAAAGTGCAACTATCGAGACTTCGATTGATTCGCAATTCGGTTCGCGTGTTGCTAAATCAATTTCTCTGGTGATTTCTTCTAGAAACTTCTGTTATCTTTTCAATGATCGCAAAAAGAGGAAGTCAATAATGGGCTGTTTCGAGCTGTTCGGTAGTTCCAGTGTCAAAAGCACGATCGTGGGCTACGGGGGACAAATATCGAGTATTTAGCGAGTCCGTCCGCGTTTCTCCTCGACTCGTGCGCCCTGTCGCTGTACACACTCGTTAAACCTACATCGATGTAAACCTAAATGTACAATTTGTGCAGTTGCATCAAGCCGACGGACCCGATCCCGCCGAATCGAGTGTTCCGCGCTGGAACGCGGACGTTTGAGCAATGCAGGATCCTATGTTGCTGAAGCGACTGGTTCGTCGCCCAATGGTTCGCGCGACCGTTTCTCGCGGCGAATATCCTCGCCCGACAGTTGCTAGTTACTTTTTGTTACACATAAATTACGACGAATTCGAACTTTAACCCTAGAATTCGTTGCGAGTCTCGGCAGGTGTCTGGCTGTTCGTATAAAATTTAGAATGTATAAGATAAAACAGAAGCTGTAAAACAATCAACTGTGTTGTTGATCAGTTGTTAACAGGACCATGTCGAGCAATGTCCTAATAAATAGAATCCTCTAAATGAACATAACTCTACAAACAGTACAGTAACATAACTCTCCTCTTTACGGTAATTCGAAAAATTCTATCCAACAGAATAAAGACGGTAAATTAAATTTTCTATTTCGTCTTTGAACAATTGCAACCTTCGTTCTCGACCCCTTCACCTACAATATAGTGTCAGACTCGTGGCGGAAATTGAATTTTGAAAATCTAAGTGTTATTTATATTTCTTAAATATAAATTAAATATTGCTCTGAATAAGCGTGAATCGTGATTTTTCTTAATAAGTTATTAACACGTTGGGTGCCATGGAGCTCACCGGTGACGCCAACCAAATCGAATTACTACAATTTATTCGATTAAACGATGATTATTTGAAAACTTTTCTATATTACAAGTAAAACTACCTACTGCAGTGTATAAGAATAATAATAATAACGCAATTCGATTACATAATTTGATATTCCATTATTTTCATTTCACATACTTTTCTTGTCAAAATCGCGCGGCACGCAACGTATTAACGACACAGTAGTCGCATCGATCATAGCTAAGAAATAAATCATAGGTCAAGGGATTAACGTTGCCTTTTACATCTAATCACGTCATCGACGTAATCCTGATCCAGCGGGACAGCCTACCGAGACATCGAATCCTCTTTAGTGTCCTTTCTTCGGCTCTCCGTGGTCCAAGGAGCCCGATCGTTAACTTCAATAAGTGCGAATCCATCATCATGTACAAGGTTATGGCAATATTCAGGAAAGGATGGGACCGCTACGGGCCCTGCCCATTAACAATATATAAATATACACTAGGGGAGTCCACGGATTCACCAGTTACCAAAATCAACAGCTGGCCAGCCACGAAGAGCGCTTAGGAGCGTTACCATTTCCTGTTCGGGCACATTCTGTTCCGGACGTCGTGTCTGCAGCTCTGGCTACCCTCGTCGAACACGGTGCCCTCCTCGCAGACGAACCGGAAGTCGAGGACCTGCCTCGAGGTGAAGCCAGGAGAGCAATAGTGGAACAGCCTGCAGTCTCTGTTATCACCGTAGAAACGGTACATCTCCTTCTCCAAGCAGTTGAAGCCGTCTTCCTTTCTCAGGTTCGCTGCCTTCCGACTGGAAGACCTGATGGTCGCTGCCACCAGTTCGTCGGGTTCTTTGACGGAGCTCTTAACAGCTTCAGGAGTAGGCTGGGTAGAGGTCTCAGCGATAAAGGACATCGCCGTAGAATCCTGTAGAGTCTTGGTGGATTCTGTCGAAGCTTCCTCTGGTGTGTTGATGGTAGTCGTTCCTACGTGATCAGGCTCGCTGGGTATGGTAGCTACCGGAGGAACTGTCGTGCTGAGGATCTCCACTTCGATGAACGAGTAGCTCTTCGGTGTCGTTGGTATTTCGGTGGTCGACTCGATTTCCTTTAGAGTTTCTTGGATCGTGGATGCTAGGGTCGATAGTCTGGTTACTGGGTAGGGTGTGAAGGTCTCAGGGATGATGGTTGTATGCTCTGCGTCCTCTTTGTCCTCTTTCTTCACGTTGGTTGGGGACTTCTGCTCGGAGGGACTGGAATCTTGGTCGCCATTGTTTCTGCTGGGAATTTGATCTCTTTGCATTGGCTCGACGGATACGTTAGGACTTTTGGCTTCATTAGCCTGGTTCTTGTTTTGGTCCTTAGCTTCATCTTTATCCTGGTGTTTCTCCTGGTCTTTACCTTCATCCTTACTCTGGTCCTTGTCCAATTTCCCCTCCAACACATTCTCTTCGCTCTTGCCAGCCTCGGTGGTGCTGACAGCTTCAGTCACTGGTGTTTCTGTCATGGTCGTTGGCACTTCAGTTGAATCCATTTCCTTCATCGTAATCGTAGGAACTGTGGTGACTGATTTCCTGGCTAATAAGGGGAATTTCCTGATGACAGGCTTGGGTGCTAGCTCGTTGTAAGACTTGGGCGGCTTTGCTGGCTTGGGATTCAGCAGACTGATCCTAGGTTTGATGACGACGGGGTTAGGGGTCGTCGTAGGAGGAATGTACGCGTAGGTCTTTCTGGCTGAGACTGGCTTGAACAGTTTTGGAGGTGTTGGTCTAACAGTTGTAGTAGTGGTAGTCGTTGTTGTAGTAGTTGTTGTTGTTGTGGACGTTGTCGTTTGCGACAAGTGGGCGTCATCGTCAGATTTCTCAGTGTTCTCTTCTGTTCTCTCAGTTTCAGTGTCTATCATGGCGGTTGTAAAGTCTACTTTGTCTGCTTTGCCTTCTTCATTATCGTTAGCTACCTCATCCTCTATTTTCACGTCCTTAACCTTTTTGTGCCCTTTGTCGTCGCTGAGTTTAGAGTCCTCATGCTCTATGTGATCCTCAGGTTCCTTGCCCTCTTCCTTATCGTTACCTGCCTCATCTTCTACTTTCTTGTCCTTAACCTTCTTCTTCTTTTTATCATCATTCAGATTGGAATCCTTATCCTCCATGTAATCCTCAGGTTCTTTGCCCTCTTCATTATCGTTAGCTGCCTTATCCTCTACCTTCTTGTCCTTAACCTTCTTCTTCTTTTTATCATCATGAAGATTGGAATCCTTATCCTCCATGTAATCCTCAGGCTCTTCGCCCTCTTCATTATCGTTAGCTGCCTTATCTTCTACCTTCTTGTCCTTAACCTTCTTCTTCTTTTTATCATCATTGAGATTAGAATCCTCACGCTCCTTGTACGCATCAGCTTCTTTGCCCTCTTCATTATCGTTAGCTGCTTTATCTTCTACTTTCTTGTCTTTAACCTTCTTCTTCTTTTTATCATCATTGAGATTAGAATCCTCACGCTCCTTGTAACCGTCAGTTTCTTCGCCTTTTTCATTATCATTAGCTACTTTATCTTCTATCTTTTTATCCTTAACCTTCTTTTGCTTTTTATCGTCCTTGGAATTCGAATCCTCGCGCTCCTTATAATTGTCAGGCTCATAATTGTCATCTACATAGTCATGGGCACTATTCTCAACAGACTCTGAAGACTTCTTGCTCTCTGACAAGTCCTCTTTCTTCTCCTTAGGCAGCTCATCTGTGAATTTCAAGATCCCCTCGGTACTATCCTCCTGATCGTTAGCTTCCTCGTCGTTCTCTTCGACAGTCTCTTCCCTAGAAGTCTCAGTGTCTTTTGAATTGTTCTCAGAGGAGCTTGGGTCTTCATGATCTTTAGGGTCTTTATAATCGTTCTCTTCGTGGCTATCATAGAATGCTTCTGTAGAATCATGATACTCAGAGGATACTTCCTGGGAAGTGATCTCTTCACTTTTGATCGTCGAGTACTCCTGTGAATCCTTTTCTTCTTGCTCCCCCTTTGAGAACTTCCTGCTCTTGTCCTGTCTGTGAGTGATGACTTCTCTAGACGACGTCTCGAACTTCATGCTCTTCCCTCGCCTAGAGCTTTTGACTTTAGGTGTCTCTTCGTCATCCTCATGACTGACGTCAGTGCTAGATTCATCCTCTATACCCTCCATGGAAGTTTCTTCTTCGTAGTAAGTTTTCTCCTCTATCGAAAGGTTCTCCTTCATCTCAACAGAACCTAACTTTGCATCGTGCTCCTCTTCATCTTTCAACAAAGGAGTTGTGGACTCTTCCTGTGCCTTCACTTCTTCACGTTCCTCCTCTTTCATCAGATTCTCCACATGCTTGTCTAGAACCTCGTACTCGTTCGCATCTTTACGATCATCCTTTCCTATCTTTTCATCCTTTCCACCTTGATGACTTTTCCCATAGCCTGTGCGATGTCCTACAGCCCTAGTGTCCACTTCTTTGGAAGTCATCGACTCTGGCTCGTCGAAAATGTGCTTGTCAATTTGTTCAATCTCAGAATCTATGACTGGAGTCGTGGCGATTACCTTTTCTTCAACAACTTCGTCGTCAACTGGCTCTGCAGCCTCATCGTTTTGCAGTTTACTTTCTTCATTCTTCAGGTCCTTTTTCCTTGCAGATATCTTCCCCGAGGATGATCTGATCCTAGAACTTTTCCTCTTGGCATTAGGTTTCAGTTCTTCTTTAGATTTTTGTGCTTTTTCTTCGGTTGGTCCTTCTTTTTCCTTGTCATCTATCTTCTTAGGCTGTTTGCTACTTTTTGGACTGTCAGGCTTAACATCTTCCTTAGTAGAATCCCTTTGAGCAAACTTTGAAGAGTATCTAGCAGTTTTCGTGGTGCCAGTCTGTTCTGTTGCATCTTTAGCATCTTGCTTCTTTGCTGAGTCGATGTCAGTAGACAGTATAGGTTCAGTAGTCTGCTCTGTCGTGGAAAGTATAGGGACATCAGTTGACATAGCTTCCTCTTCAGTGACGCCGTCCATGTCGGAGGATTTCGTCTTCAGATACTCGTTTGGATCAAGAATCACAATATCTAGGACACGTTTTTCTTCAGCACGTTTTGCTTCACCATCATCTACCTCTTTCGAAGAGTCTTCCTTATTTTCTTCTTCCTTAGAGCCGCTAGGATCATCTTCGTCACCTTTTACCTCATCTGAACCAGAATCTTTCACATCTGACTCATCGTCCTTATAGTCCTTAACATCAATGTACTCTTCAGCATCGGACTCCTTCGTATCCAGCTTCACAGGTTCACCATCGAAGTACTCCTCATCGTCAGCTCTATCGTTTTTATTCTCCGTGTCGTATTCACTGTCATCATATTCTCTAGCTTTGAAATTCTTCGAAGCCTTTGGCTCCAAGTCCTCCAAACTCACCTTGGCTCTAGGTTTTCTGTTAGGTTTAGCTCCCTGGAGATTGCTAGCTCCAAAAACACTGCGAATGCTGTCCTCGTTGAACTCAGTCCCGAAGAGGATGTCCCTGAACTTCATCAGACTCTCTTTGATGGCTGTGAAGTCCTTAGGCCCGTCATCCACAGCAACTTTCTTCTTATCACTGATGTCTACCACTTGGACTTCTTGTCTCTTGGGCCTGTCGCCTCCATAGACGAAGGAGACCATGGAATTCTTCGTCTGGCCCACGGACCTCTTGAGTCTCAGCGAAGTCCTGCTGACGCCGACACGTCTAGCATTACGAATCTTAGGGACATCCCTGTAAAATGGATCGAAGGATTCATCCCCTTCCTTGTAGTCGTCGTAGCTAGCTGGAATTGTTGGCAGAGGCAGAGTGACCAACTGTGTAGTGTTCAGGGGTCTGCCTGACTCATCGCTGACGCTGGCTTTAGCAGTGACTATCACTCTGGACTGGGATGGTAGCAAAGGCGATGGGTTCTGCACGATTCGCTGAATGTCTGGCGGTGGCAGGTTGATAGTGATTTGATGGGGTTTGAGCTGGGGTATTGGCACAGGTGGTAACACGTGGATGTGCTGTGTGACTTGCTCACTGGTGGACTGGGAAGACTGAGTTGATTTCGTTGCACTTCTCAGCGTTGGGTAGAAAGATCTAACTGTCGTTTCATCAGTGGACGGGGTTGGCAGGAAGTTTCCTGTGATTCTTTGCTGCTGGGAGCTCTGGCTGGTCTTCGTTTGGACTAGTCGAGGTGGCTCTGAGGGAGTTGGCACCGGTGAAATTGTCAGCTTCGAGACCTGGAACAAGTGGAGATTGTTTGAAGACTGTTTGAAGCTTTGAGTTTGAGTTTGTCTGAGTTTGTCTTAAGTGTAGCTTCAGAGAACCAGAGGCAAACATTTCTAACCCTTTGCACTCGGAAGTTACCAAAAGTATTTAAAAAGATATTTTGTAAAACTAACTCGAAGAGAAATCACACGTACATTGAGGAACAACGCTATTTTATTTCAATATTCCTCAAAATTGACGCACTATACAAAGTATAATATTAGATATCAAATTTTAGTTTTATTGTATGAAATCAAGTTGTGAATGAGAGTCACCTCTCAAGGGCAAAGGGTTAATCTAACGTGTTGTGAACTGTTTGAAGGTTAGCTAAGGTTTGAGTACTATTATCTGACACGAGACAACCTAAACGAATTACCTTTCCTTTACTGGTCGACTGAACAGCTTCCAGAGGCCTTATATTCTGTTCCCCGGCCTCGCGGTACTCAGAAGTCTCCCTAGGGTTGTTATTATGCAGCGTGAACTGCTCCGTAGTGCTGGAAATCCCATGATTGTGGAATATAGGATTAATCAAAGCCGGACTGTTCCCATTATTACTCAAAAGCGTCTGTATAGTAGAGGACGTCGCATGGAATAACGGAGACACTGTCGAAGGCTCGTTGTGTATAATCTGCGGGCTGGACGTCGAGCTGAACCTGATCTGGTGGACCTGGGGTGGCTGGACAGTCGTAGAGCTAACTCCTTGGTTGCTGAACAACTGGTAAGAAGTAGCCTGCTGGTTGTTATTCCTCTCGCCATTGTGGAAAATGTACTGATGATGGTATCCGCCGTTCTTGTCGTCGTACAGGGATTTAGACTGACTGGTGTGCACCTGGGGGAACGGTGGCTGGGGCTGGAAGTGCTGAGGGTAACCTGTCGGGTGGGAGAAAGTGCTCGAAGATGGAGTCGTCGACGGTTTGTTGGGCTTGGAGGTAGTGGAAGTCGTTGTAGACGTTGTCGAAGGTCTCGCTGACGTGGTGCGCTGCTGATGATCATCTATGGCGTCTAGGGGGTCGATGTCATCCTCGCTGTTCTCGTGCAAACTGCGAACACAGTGGTCAATCAATCTTCCACGTCGAAACTAACTATTCTGACAGCTGTTCGACTGGCCTAAGCAGCTGGGGCCAACTGAATTGGCACTCGAGTGCACTTTCCTGCATCTCTCACGGTGCAATGCTGCTCTGACGAGATAGCAGGCTACCCTCAACCGATCAGGACAATGCGGCAAGACTCTTCCACTCACAATGTCTGAATCTTCTCTGTCTTCGATGCATGGTTATCATTGGCGATAATAAAGGACGGAAGCAAGACTGACTGCGACGGAGTTACATTACTGACGCGAACCCAGCCGGCTTATGGTTCAAAAGTGAAGAGGAGCAAGGAGATTCGGCCGCTCCATTTTAGCTCGCAGCTAGGCCATTAACACGAAAATATTTTTAATGAATATATGGTCACAGTCGGCGGTATACGTTACAAAGCAGTGAAAACAAAGAAACAATATCAAAATATATAAAAATGACCAGAAACTTGAATATAACTTATTATTTTATTGAAAAAATCAGTACAGTTCATAAGCAAAATATAACCGAAGTTTCCGTGGCACGGAACGCGTTAAGAAAGACGCGACGAAACTGATTCCGCCATTACTATCGGACCAAGCGGCGCAAGTGGACGTCTCCCCTTGCCCCTCTTCACTTTCAACCCACCCGTTACTACGGGTGACTATAGTCACCGACCACAAAAATGCAGCCAAAAGTTAAGACAATATAAACAATAACAAAAATACATTGATGGAGAAATGATAAACACATTATTATAAACACAAATCACTTTGCTTCTAAAAGCAATGTCACAACCGCGTTTTTGATTTCTTTGTAAATTGTTTTTCTATATCATCGTGTGCTCTAATAATCATTGATAACAGAGGAATATGTCATTTCTATTCAAATTAAATAATATTTGTTCAATGCCACTTGAAATCTTCACCAGAGTCTGACATTATAGGGCAAGTTAATGTTCCCACTTGCTACAGCGTTCCGTTCTACACAAGGAACTTCAAAGCGAAGCCCGCCGTAGCGAAAGGGTTAAGCCACAGGCCATGTTCACGTCAGTAACGCACTGTAGAGAAGTTGGCACTATGGACTTTGATCTCCATCGTTACATTTCACTCGCATTTAGTCTTACTGTCGTCCTTTGTTACCATCACGCGACCACCACCGAGCAAGCGTCGAAGACTGAGACCGCGGCGAGTGGAAGAGTCGTCTTGCCGCTCGGTCCTGATCGCTCGAGGGTAGCCTGCCATCTCAGAGCCGCACTTCGCGCGTGCACTGCTAACAAAGTAGCACCGGTGAGCCGTGTAATTCGGCTGACAGGCGAGACCAGACAGGAGAAAACTGCAAAAGTCATCGATCGAAAATCGGTGTCGCACGCAACCGCCCCGTACACGCCTCTATCGATCCTCGATCACGCGAGCCCAGCACGAAAGCCGGACTGGTATGTGGATCGCTGGTCCTTACGAAACCCCGAGGTGAACGCCCAGACAGTCGCAGATAAACATTGCGTGTGACAGGTGGAGCGACCAATCTACAAGTCGTAATGATCATTTCACCGCGATCACGTATGCGTGTGTATATAAATTCCTGGTCGCGGTGACTAGTGTTACGTGCGTCAGGACCGACGCCGGAAAATACTGATTGCGAGCGTGGACTCGTTTCGATGACCGGTATCGGGTGGATGGGAACGCCGGCCTGGGAGAATGTGCCTCGGAACGGATGTTTATTTAATTCTTCATTAAAGCGCTATTGAGATCGACCTGATTGCGGGGAATATTTATCATCGGTGGTATTATTAGAAGGAGGTAGTGATCGATTGCATAGGATTGTTGGATAACTTGATAGTTTGTTGAGAAGGAACATTGTATGGCACGTTTCAACTTTCTATGTTACCTGAGAGGGTAGCGGCAGGCTTCGGATTGTCAAGCCTCCTGTTTCTGTGGTTTAAGCCGGAGAAACGTTCGGAAAAAATTCGAGTTGATTGTTGATACTGGGGGATAGATTGGGGAATTTTTTCGTAATTTTGGATTGAACATCTTGGGCAGGGAAAATAGAAACAGGGAAATTAGTATTTTTAATAAGGGTGTGTTTTCATTCTAATTTCTATTTTCCCTGCCCAAAATGTTCAATTCAAAAATAGGAAAAAATTCCCCAATATATCCCCCGATATCAACAATCAATCCGAATGTTTTAAAGAATGTTAAATTTTAAGAATGTTAAAGAATTTTTAACGATGCTAAAAAACAATGAAAACACACCATTATTAAAAATACTGTTTTTTGATGAAGTACGATTTGATTGATGAATGTGAAGACAATATAAGATTGTTTATAGTTTCAAGGTCAAGGCAAGGGTTGAAGTTTGGCAGAGAATACTTTTAGTAAGTTATCGAACGGTCTAATTTAGTGCAAGGACATTACTGACCCCATTATCCAGTTATGGCCTATACTGAGAGTGTTTTAATGTCTGACCCAAATCACTGCGGCTATTCTACTGCCTGACCTCATTTATAATATAGTATAGGTAATTATAAAACTTCTGTAATTATTCAGAGGAGAAGGAACATGCTCATTCATAGACACAAAAGTAGAGTCTCTTTGAAGAATAAATTTATCATCAGTGACATTTTTAATTATTCAATTTTCTCTGAAAAAAATATTTTAGTTAAGTTTGATACAGATTAAATATTCTTTAGCTAGGAAAATTGATTATTGAAGTATTAAGCTTCTAATGTAGCCCACTCCAAAATGATCTTTTAATTAATTGAAGAAAAATTTGAGAAAAGTATCTCATTAATAAAATTGTTATATATTTAATTTCCTCGAAAAAGAATATTTTAGTTAAGTTTAATATAGATTAAATATTCTTTAGCCAAGAAAATTAATTGTTAAAATATTAAGCTTCTAATTCAGCTCACTGCAAAGTGATTTTTTAATGGATCAAAAGAAAAATTTGGGGAAAAATCGTCTCACCTTAAGGTGACAGCGTTGTTGCCATAAAGCTCCAAGTTCAAGTTGTAGAATCTCTCGCTCTTGCTGCAATCGACCTCGTCCACTCTTTCGCAGACCCTGGTTTCCTGATCGAAGACGGTTCCGTTCAGACAGAGGAACTTTATGTCCATAATCTCGTCTGAAACCAAGTCTCATGGTGAAGGACAGGGTCATTATTCGGGGATGCTCTTCAGGGTAAACGTTCACGAATCATCTAAACACTTCATAGCTACTTTACTCAATCATTACACAAACAATAATCTCCCCTTGACAATGGAATGATTATTGCTAGCATAGAAGAAAGCAGAACAAACAAATTTCCAACCTTCATCCTCTACTCTTTTACAATAAAACAAACAATAATTTCCTCTTGTCAGTATAATAATTATTGTCAGTATAAAAGAAGCAACAATTAATGAATTTTCAAAAAATAAACATCAATCTCTGCGTTGATCATCTAATCTTTTACAATAAAACAAACAATCATTTTCACTTAACAGTGTAATAATTATTGTTAGTATAAAAGAAACAACAATAAATAAATTTCCAAAAACTAAACATCGATCTCTGCGTTCGTCGTTCATTCTTCTACAGTAACTCAGTACTATCTATATTTATCGTCAACAATTTGAGAAACAAATTAATGAATTCAATTGCATTCTAATAAATCTGATTCCTTCAGGCCTTCCGTTTAAACACGCCAACCACGGTCTGCATTTATGCATACGCCTTACCATAACCGCCACCAGATGTCGAGGAACGCTACCATATTCCAGCTAGTCGTAAAACTCTCGAACTGGTAGCCGAACCGCTGACTAATTGATTAATTCAATTACACAGGCCGTTTCTAAATAAATTAAGAACTCCCTTGCTCTTTCAATTAATTCGTCCACTTAATAAAACTTTTTTGCAACCACGGAATAAATGCCATCGGCCAAAAGTCACGAGCAAGAACCAACCTGTTAATGATTTATGAATCGAAATCGATAAATATCTGTCGCGGATAAAAACGTTCAAATACCAGGCTTTCGTAATACGTATGATCTATATTAGTGTACATAGAATCAAATACACTCAATTCTGCTTTTTCGCAATAAAAATTCGCAATAAATATTGTTGAAACGTTGTATCTATAGAAGGATGATGACTGGTGCTAGGTCTGGGAAATCAGCAAAATGATACGATAATCCGTATCAAAATTCATGTTAGAGTTTGGTGATTGTGTTAAGTGAAACTAAACTTTGCAAAAAGATAAGAAATTTAGAATTCGAATTTTAATCGAGAAGATTGGGTAAAAACAATAATTCGTGTTAAATCCGTACCACTTGGAAAGAGAAAACTTATCCCTAATAAATCAAATAACTCGTAAATAGAAGAATAATTCGTAGTAAACCGGAATCGTGTAAGAAAGAACAATATGTATAAATATAAAATAATTCATATTAAACCAAAACTGTGTAACAAAAGAAAACTAACTCACGATAAATCGACCAAATGATATAAAAATAGGAAAATCAAATCAGGATCACGCAAAACAGCTCGAGTAAAAGCAGAATCGAGTATACTTTCTTTGTTCCTTCTGTTCCGAAAAAGAATCATACGTAAAATGTGAACCGACAGTAGATTTACTTTAAATAATATTAAAGTAAAGTAATAATAATATTAAAAATATAAGGTAGATATTTGAAAAATATGTATTTAATACTATTTAAATATTATTTAACTATTAAATATACATTTTTCAAATATCTACCTTATATTTTTTAAATGTCTGTTTCATATTCTCCGAATATTTAGTTGATATTTTCTGAACATTCACTTTGCATTTCTTGTACATACGTACAATGATTATATATTAATATATTTTATCTAATATCTTATTCATATTAAAAAGTGTGGCTTAAAGAAATATTCTTTAAATATTTGAAAAAGATCTTTAACCAATATTTCTGTGCTACTACAGGGAAGATCGTGGCAAGTATCCGGTGGCGATTTGTCGATTAAGTTTACTCGGTGTCGTGACAATTAGAATCGATAATTAAGGCCCACGTGTCGGGGCCCCGCGGCTCGATAAATCGACCGGTTCGATCGAATGATCGAAAGGTCCGCCCGGGGGCCCCGGCTAGCGCCGATCCATGTTTTGTAATCGATCGAGAGATCGCTCCGCAGAGAATGTCACGGTCGTCGAGGAACGTTTACTGACCTAAGCCGAGAGTGTCTGGCTTCGGCGCGTCACGAGAAATCGAACGCCTGCTTTCGTCATTTTCCATGGCAGTGTATCGAAAATATTTTCATTTTCAAATTATATAATCGACCATTTCATCTTTCTATCTACATACTTGAAGTGTTTTGTAGCTTTGCTATAACCGATGGCTGTGTCGGTGGAAATCGAAATTATGATTTAGATCTTGGACATTTGTGAAAAATTATTTTTTGTTTTGTTCACTATTTGGCGATGATGGTATATGTGGAAGATACTGTTAATTTGATTATTAACTTGATTTCACTATTGATTTGATTAGTCATCTCATAAATAATATGGTTATTTATGTTCCGTTTATTTTTTAAAATAAAGGTGAATAAGACTGTTGCTAGTTTAAATATATTCTTGATTATCTATAAATTGTTTAGGTATACATTATAGTTACTTTAGGAAAGGTTTTGTTTGTCTTTATTTTTGAAAATGAAAGAAATATGTGAAACTATATTATTTATTTGTGGTTTGGGTACCTTTCAGTTTTCAAATTTCGATGAAAATTTGATGTATTGTGGATGTTGTTGATAAAGGAAGTAATTTGGATTATCCATGACCCAGCCATCGATTTTAATTTGTTGGAATCATAGGTGTCGAATTACCTTTCTGACCGATGGTGCAAACATGGAACATCTGACATCCGGCCTCAACGTCAGCGTAGTATCCACCGATCACCTTTCCCTGACACGAGAAGTTCGTCTCCGGCAGGTTGTCGAAGTCCAAATACTTGCCGAAAGATAATAATACATTAGAAATGCTATGTTATCGTTAGACTGCGGATTTTTATACACTTATGGGAAATCTGGAAATGCAAAATTGCACAGAATTCACGCGAAACGAAAAAATCTATAAAATATCGGAGGTGTAGCGCTCTCTGTAATATTTGTTAAGAATAATCATTTTCCATATTAGTTTTTCTAATTATATTCCTGAAATTTTGAATTTGCATAAAAATCTGCTGTCTAGTTATCATAATTTATAGATTAAAAAATTGTAGCTCTAGTTTTATTATATTAAAAAAGTTCGTTGACTTTCCTTCAAATAAACAAATTAACTTTCAGAAATAAAAAGAAAGTACTTTAAGTGATACTTTAGAATGCAAAAATGGCCACAACGTTTACTCAACGTTTCAAAATTGCTAAACAAATTTATAATGGTCATGCATCCATAGTTCGTTATAGAATACTTTAGTATGGAAAACTACAAAAATCAAATTATTCAGAGAAATGACATATAAGAATACTCGATACTAGAAAATACAGTTTCCAAATAAATCAGCGATAATAATTTATCCATTTCCCGAAAATTCGAAAGCTCAAACTTTAAAGCTTACAATTCTATGAAATATCCCACATAAACTAATGTGTATATTTCTCAGGAGAAAATGCTCTCTCCATTGTAATGGCCTTCCAATTACCATTTGGAAAATGTAAATTTCCACAAATATCCATTGAAATGAAATGATTCGGTACTCACGCCAGGTTCCCCCGCGCTGCATAACAAGGAGCCATGCTGGAGGTTGAGGAGTGACACGAAAACTGCAACAGAAGAGGACCATTGTCAAGCTTCTGTTAACACGAGTGTCGATCAGGCAGTGAAAGTGTCGTGGAAGTGAAAATAATTTTCACGTCTGGCACGGGGGAAACGGTAAGAAAAGGCTACGTGTTCGGCAGGGGGTAATTTAGCTGGTCTAATTTATGCGTTTGCGCAACGCCTGCGCCCAGGGAACCCTGTTACACCAGTTGCCGTTATAATTACGAGCAACTATCGACACGCACGCAGCAGTTTCGACAGAATATTTAAAAGAAAATCCAAGTCGATCTGTTCCGCGGCGAAGTTACTTCCCTCTGACGCTGATAAATCACGGAACAGCCCCATTATTCTTCGGGGTACCAATAAATCATTTTACGCTGCTTCTGTTTCGGTTTCTTCCTCCATTTATCTTCCCTTAATTATTAAACACCGAACGGCTAATTAACAAGAGGAACTTTATCAGAAATTGTTAAATTATATTTATTCATTGGATTATTGAAATTGTTACGATGTAATACAATTGTGTAAATAACGAAATTATTGGATGAGTTGTTAATTAGAAAATTAAGTAATTGTCATAATATACTGAAGTTATATAAATAAAGAAATTATTGGCTAGGTTATTGATTAGAAAATTAAGAAATAATTATTATAGTATATATAATTCTTATGATAACTGTTTTACTATAATACAATTATATAAATAAAGAATTTATTAGCATCATTAATTAGAAAATTAAGAAATAATTCTTATGATATAACATAATTATGTAAATAAAGGAAACTGTTGACTGAATTATTACGTAGGAATTTAAGAAATAAGATCAATCAATTTTAGAATAAAAATGTTAAAATAGTTTTATTTACAGATGATTTTTATTTAAATTTGAATCGAACGATGAATTGTCCAGAGACGAACGAAAGCAAATGTTATTAGCAGAATCGTGTTAAATGAACGAGCACCCAACTAAGAGCACTGATTCCATTTGACCGTCAGCAAAACGATTATTAATAAAATAGAATGTCACACGGTGCGCAGAATCGATTGGCGATCGAGTGGTCGAGTTGTGGGCCGAGGTCATCAGGTGTGAATACGAGCTGTCCAATCAGATTCGTTGCCGGATCCTGTCGATCACGCGAATCTAATATTTGCGATCGAGGTCTCTCGCGTTGATTTTCATAATTACCCAGCCTATCGACCGGTCGAACGCTTCGATTCCGGTATCGAACCCGATTCAAATCAGAATCTAGAATAATATCAGATTAAATTCAATTCCAATCAACAGTTCGAGCCGGCCAGTTTAATTGCAAACTGCAAATTTCACTCTCCTATCAACCATAAAACTTCTCCTATAGAATTCCCGTATGGAACAGAAATTCGTCTTGATAAACCATAAAATAAATTCGGTACACCGTACGATACTTTCTACGTCCATGTTTAATCGATCGAATTATTCAAGCGAATGAAGTGTTGCTACATTGAAAGCTCGTTTTATCGACGTTTGATCAGCACTTTAATATCCGACGATCCGTAAAGGTATAATTAAAATATCATCGTTACGGGATATTGTGTATGAAAATATAAGTGGATAATAAATTTACGAGGAGCGACGAAAAAAATAATAAAAGATTCACGGTCAACAAGTCGGCCACGGGGAATTTCTAAAAGCAGAGGAAAAAGACTGCGAAGTTTCTAGGAACGTGGTCGTGGACGATTAAGCGCACCGTATCGAAAGAATCGTGTATAAAATTTCGATTTCTACGGTGGAATCCCGGCAGCACGGGCCCAACGCACGCTTTCCATTTCTCTCTCCTTTCCCTTTCTAACCACCTCCACGCGACGATCGACACCCACTTTTGACATCGATTTTTAACAATTCGTCATTCGCGGACGATGTGTGTCAACGTTTCCAAGACTGTAATGAACTTCGTGGTTACGCGAATTGTGTAACGACGTTCGATTCCTGTTTGGCTGATTGAAATATCGTTTAATTATGATGTGCTGGTAATTGGAAGAATGTGGAAAGTGAATATTAAATTTGGTATGCTTTGGTAATCTTTTGATTGTTTGGGAATGCCGGATAATTGATATTAAGGGGGCTGGTGATGTTAAGTTTGTTTAGTGGCAGTGAGAATAATTATAGTGTGAAGGATAATAAATGATGATGATAGTAATTGTGAATGTATAGTAATAATAAGTGTGAATGATAGATTATAATGTTTATGACTGTTGTAAGTAGTTTTTAGGAGAATTTATGTAATTTACAATTCACTAATGCAGTTCGTTATATTCAATATGCAATGCACCATTGGAGTTCGTTATTCCCAATTTTTAATGCATTAATGCAGTTCGTTATTCCTAATTTCTACTCCATCAATATACTTCATTGTTTCAAATTTCTATTGCACCATGCACTTCATCATTCCCAATTTCCACTGCACCAATGCACCTCATCATTCGAAATTACCAATGCACCATTACAGTTCACCATTCCCAATTTCTACTGCACCAATACACTTCATTATTTTAAATTTCCAATGCACCATGTGCTTCATCATTTCCAATTTCCACCGCACCAATGCACTTTATCATTCGCAATTACCAATGCACCATTACAGTTCATCAGTCCCAATTTCCACTGCACTAATGTACTTTATCATTCCCAATTGCCACTGCACAAATGCACTTCATCATTCCTAATTTCCACTGCAACCCATCATTCCCAATTGCATAATTCCGAAATGAAAATTCACAACCCCTAATACAATAATAACAGATTATTCTTCGTTACAAAGTGATTACTTTAAAATTTCATACTCCTACAAAATGATCAAATCAACTTCATCATTCCCAATTTTCTATGCAACCCATCATTCCCAATTGCATAATTCCGAAATAAAAATTCACAACCCCTAATACAATAATAAGAAATTATTCTCCGTTACAAAGTAATTACTTTGAGACTTCATACTCCTACAAAGTGATCAAGTCAACTGCATCATTCCCCATTTCCAATGCAACCCATCATTCCCAATTGCATAATTCTGAAATAAAAATTTACAACCCTTAATACAATAATAAGAGATTATTCTCCGTTACAAAGTGATTACTTTAAGACTTCATACTCCTACAACGTGATCAAACCAAACCGGCTATATCACAGTATGCATCCAAATGCACACGGAAAGTGCAACGCACGCTGGATTTTCCAGTCCACTTTTCCGCGTATCCGCACGCAGTGGCGCCGAACACGCCAGTGATATAATCCCTTCAGCGCGTAATACCTGTGTGAATCCCGTGACATTTAGATCTGCCAACGATCCGCCGACCCGTTGCTCGTCTTCGCGAGACAACTCTTGACAGTCACCGACGTCACGACGATAAATCTATCATCCGAATGGAAATCGCATAACGCACAGGCCAACTAAACTGATTTACTCCTACTCGATCGATGATCGAGTGTGGATCAATCCCATCTAACATCTAGGAGAATCGTTAACCCGTTGCCTTATGGTTTCTTTCATAACCGTGCTCGTTGGAATTAATTTAACCCTTTGCTCTCGGGATGCCACTCACAGTTGCCATTTGCTTTGACATGGAACAATTATGAAATTCTATGTTTAATATCAAATTTTATATACTGGAATTGGATGTGAAATATTTGAATAAAATATATTTAAACCTTTATGTGCTTATTACTTTTGTTTAGCAGCGTTAAACGTTTTATGAGTTAATAGAGAACGAAGTGTTAATTCTTTGGACTCGAAATGTTACAATCACCATTTGCTTTGACATGGAACAATTATGAAATTCTATGTTCAATATCAAATTTTATGTAATGGAAGTAGATGTGAAATATTTGAATAAAATATATTTAAACCTTTATTTGTTTATTGCTTTTGTTTAGCAGCATTAAACGTTTTATGAGTTAATAGGGGACAAAGTGTTAATTCTTTGGATATGGGATGTTACAGACGACATTTGCTTTGATATAGAGAACTTATAAAATTATGTATTCGATATCAAATTTTATGTACTGTGATTAGATTTGAAATATTTTATTAAAGTAATACTAACTCTTCAGTTGTTTATTACTTTTGTTCAGCACCATCAATAGTTTCATGAGTTAATAAAGAGCAAAGAGTTAACCTTTCACACTCGAAAGGCGACACGACTTCATACAATAGAATGATAAAGTATAATATTTAACATCAATCTTTGCATAATGCATCAACATACGAAATACTGAAATGAAATAGCTTTGCTAAATTTATGTTTAAATTATTATTAAATTAATTTCGAAAAATATTATCTATATTTCATACGTAAATATTAAATATTTCCATTAAAAAACTTTCCAGTGCAAAGGATTGATATTAATAATTGATTAGAAACATAGAAGAATTACATGTTTATTAAAGTGTAACAATTGACAGTAAAAAAGTAATATTAAATTTGAATTGAAAAGAATCTCAAATAATAAATATCAATTGAGTCTTCCTTAAAAATCTCACACAATATTCTATGGCTATTGAATTTTCACGGGATATCAAAGAAAAATATTCGATTCGTGGTCGAGTGAAATTCTGTTCATTTTAATGACCGCTGATTTATAGATCGGCAAAGCCGATCTGATTAAGAAAGCCAGTGGAAATCGAAAAAATCCGAGGATTGTAGAGGATCAGACCGAAAATAGAACGCGTAGGAAGTTAATGGAAAATGATTTGCAACTGGTTTACGGTTTTGCTGGAATCGGGGGTGAAAAATGGATATAATCCGGACTCAATGATCCCTGATAAATCGAGGGTATTTAAGAAGCGAAATTGTCGAGGATTAAGTGAATTTTTTGATGGGCTATCGGTGGCTGATGAAATTTATGCAGGTCGAGTTTCAAGTTACGTTTTTTACACAGCCTCTTTCCTGCTTGGTCTTTATTTTTGGAAACTTTGAATCATTAACATAAATTGCCGATGCATTAATGAATACACATAATTCTCAGTATAC